GGGGGGGGGGGGGGGGGGGGGGGGAAGAGAAAAAATAGGGGGAAAATGTTGTAATAATAACTAATGATTTCTTAGTGCATGGTTATGATGTTTCTGGAGTAGCTATCTGAAATCTGTTATTTAAGGTAATTAACAGACATTTCTGCATCACAAAATTTCCTGACACCAGTATCCAAGGTTAAACCCACAAATTGCAGGATATAAAAAATAACCTTGTTGCCAGGTGTGTTTGGCAAAACTTTTTATGTTTCTGCATCACTTTGGAAGGCAGATCTGAACACAGCACAAAGGTCTTTACCTCACATGCCAAGTCTGTTGCAATTCTAGCTGCTTGTAATTTTTATCTCAGTCAGATCAAGAGCAACAAGATTAAGAGATTGTGAGGGTCTCTGTCTAGAAGCTATGCCACAGTCAATTAAGTTATTTGAAACAAAATCATTGTGTAATAGCTGCTATTAAAGCTCCTTTATGCTCCAGAGAAATAAGTTCAAGAGAAGCAGAATTTTTTGTGGCTTGCCTGATCTTTGATACAGTTTATGATTTATTTATTTTTGGGTGAGTCACCAATTCTTTATTTGCTGTTATGTCTCGAGCGGTTAAAATTTCATACCTGCTTCAAGGTTACATTCCTGTTCTTTTAATTTCTTAATTCTGTGTTTTATCAACTGCTTTGCTTTGGCTTATTCTGAAAGATAACGATTTATGGCTTATAGGATGGCTTGGATCCCAAAATTTCTAATATATCAAATGGTAAGATCAGATTGAATTTCTGGGGTAAGGAATGGAGGATCATTTTTCATCTGAGGCCTGAGTGGTGGGAAGAAAGAGCTGTCCAGGGAAAGGGGGGTGGGCGAGACGATGCTCCCTGCATTATGAAGGATTTTTATTTTTCAAAAATACAAGAAGCATCGAACATTTTCTGTGTACCAGCTGTCTTTAAGCACTTTCCATAATGTTTGTTTTTGCAACTATCGGTGAGGAGAGAAATGAACTACTTCTTCACACATTTCTGCTGTACCACAGATTTAATCCCTAAAGTTCATGGAGAAGGTTTTACCTCCTCTCCCTTCTTTCCACATGTGCACAGTTTGGGATGGAGAGAAAGTGAAATGTCTGTAACCTTGGCATGTCCTTACCAGGAATTCCTTTTGACATCATTTTTGTTTCGTTTTTCCTCTTGACATTTTGTTTAAGCATGTACCTATTTTTGAATTTATGACTATAAATTGTTGTTGCCAGAATCAATGTCTGTCTGTCTGTCCGTCTGTTGGTCTAGCTATCTAGCTATCATTAATATTCTGACACTCTCCTTGTACACTGAGATTGTAACTCTTAGAATTTGTTTCCTGTATGGAGTCCAAAATTTTGGGTGGGTGCCAAATTAAAAAGATTGGCACTAGCCTCTTCTTTGTTAACAATCAACTCTTTATTTTCAGGTCAGATTTGCTTCCCCCTTTTTAAAAAATAAATTTAATTTCTCATTCTAATGATTGGACAAATGGTTCCCTTATTGCTGAGGAATGAGCTTTTGACACTAGCAGATGTATTTGAGTTATTTCCCATGGTTGCCTGGTAACATGCTGATTTAGCCAGCATACCACTCCTTGCTTAGTGTTCGAAGAAATCTTCGTGTGAACTGAATTCCAGAAAACGTTGGGGTGGACCTACAGCACACTAGTGGAGTGTTGTTCCCTCTGAAATTAATGGGTTGTAAGCCAAGACTAACTCATCTTCTTGAACTCTGGATCCAATCTTACAGCCTTCTGCTGTTGTTGAACAAAACTAGGGCGGATGGACATTCCCCTGATGAAAAATATTTCATAGGATCTTGAGTTAATAAGTATGAATTTCTGTCCAGTTGTAAAATTGAAGTTGTAATTTTTCTTTTATCTGACCCCCATCTCTCTGTTCTTTCCATTCAGAACCTCATTCTATGAGGATTCTGGCTCCTTCTTGAGTGGAATGTGTTGATATCACCACTGAAAAATAAAGCAGAAAGGGTATCACTTATTTACATTAGTTTTTCTCCCTAAATAGGCCCTGGGGAAAGATCAATGGGGAAAGACTTTTGAGTGCAATAACCACCACTGATAAAAAGTTTGTGTAGTGGTTCGGTCCAATAAAGATTCTTGAAGGTAGCAGACTTAGTCAAAGTCTGCTTAGACTCAGAACAGCAACACCTCAATTTAAGACACTTTGATTTAGTAGACTTAGGCTGCAGCAGGCAAAACGTGTCCATGCATGGTTTGTTTTTCTGCAGGTATAAAATTCTGTTTGCCATTTTACATTTTAATAAAATTCCATTCATCATGTAGATGACTGTAGAATATGCAGAATATTTTGCACATGTGGAGAAACTAATTCAAATTTAACACACAGATTATCCTATCTGTATAATAGGATATCTCTTCCCCCATTTACATAAAGAGATTGATTTTTGGTATAGATAAATAATTAATCATAAATGATGTTTGTGAAGAAAAGGTGTAGAATTGAATCCCAGTATATAGGCAGGATTTGTCACTCAAGCTGATTTTCACACCAAGACATCTGTATTCTTCCTTTGTGAGGTACTTAATATCTTCCATTATTTTTAAAAAAGTATATGTACTGTTTTATATTATGAATGTTGAACCTCTCCAAAAATAAGTAACTTATATGGCTTTTCCCCCCTCAAAAATTACTTGTGCTGCCCTAAGCCATACTTCAACATAGAAGGAACTGTTTACAGAACTGCTTAGTATTGTAACTGTGTGCTGGATAGCCCATATATAGTAAAGCACAAAAATACACATACTATTTTGAAAACTTACTGCAGTAATCACAAGCTGGATGGTGCTTTCTAACGTATTGGAATAAAAATATCATTCCAGCTTGTAACATATGGTTGTTTGTAGGCCAGAAATGGAACAAACAATCTGGGAGAACTTTGAAACACAAATTTGTACAGGTTCCCAATGGTCCTATCAACATAGCTCTCTGATTGCCTTTTCTTTCTTTCAGAAGAAGCCTGACAGGAGCCATCTTTCCTCCACCAGATCATCTCCTGGCAATTTTAGTTAATACTATGTTTCATCTTTTAGTAATATTAAACAATTATGAATATATATTAATCATATAGTAATATATAACTGTGTAATAGAAGGGACATCAATTACCTATATAAATATATAAAGCATTCTTCTTGTATAAATTCTTTGGATCCAACCAAATCTCCTTTCTCTCCCTTCTTATCTTTGTTCCTTCAGGATTTTTATATTGCTTTCCTGTGATTTCTCTTCTTGGTCTTTTCCCACAAATCAACACATTCTGTATATATCTCCTTGAACAGATAGATATACTGGTGTTTGGTGGTTCTGGTAAGTACTATATATGGTTATATATAATATCCAGAACTGGTTGAATTTAGGTGAGAGCTTTGATAGTTGCGATTCTTTTTCACTTCAGACTGATAATCTGCCTCTCCTAAATTTTCTCTTGTCCACATTCTTATTCAAAGCATGACAATTGGCCTTATCTTTCGCATTTGTTCACTTTTTCTGCTTGGGAAAAATCATCTGTACTACAGCAAACAGTTCTGTAGCAATACAATTGGAACCATGCTGTCAACGTTGCTAATATTGAATATTCTTGCTTTGACAAAATATGCGGAACTGTCTGGTATTTTTAGAGTTAATTCAGATGACAGAGAAAAGGGAGGAGAATAACAAGGAAAGCCTGGGAAAAGGAACGGAAGGGAATCTTTGCCCTCTGGGCTAATTGGAAGATGTGACTTATGACTAAGATAAGGGAGAGGTTTAGCAAGAAAAGTTAGATGCAAGCAAGAGGAATTCAGATTCTGGCATACCTCCATGATGTGCCATCAATTTGTAACACCGTTAATAAAGGCTTTAGGATAAACATGCCTGGAAGTTCTTTGAAGTGTTTCATTAGTCGGAACCATGACACATGCATCTTTTAGAAATTGATCACACGCAAAGTCTCACTAGTAGTTCACCTCTACTAAATGCATACAGTAAATCACCTTTTTAATTCTAGCATCGGTGAATTCTGGACCATAATGAAGATGGTTGTCTCAGCCCAGGACGTTTTGCTCTCATAGGAAGCTACATGACCTAAGAGTTGTGCTTTGGCAGACTAATTGACATTACAGTGTACCTCAGAATGCGTGAGACTCCATTGTTCTTCCAAAATGTACATTAACTTTTCAAAACATATACACAGAATTAGAATTTAAAATAAGGAAAAACTGGATTGCCCAGCAATGCTAGGGCTGGCAGCTAGACTTCTTTCTAATGATGGAAAACATAAGATAGGTGGTGATCACTGCTGTCGTTAAGCAAATTGGAACATAAAGAAGTGCAGCAGTTGGGCAATGGAGATATGGGAGCTAACTTCCAATAGCACACCCTTACTCTCAACCTGAAAATGACAAAATGTGCACGATAGTATCACACCTATAAATGCCACCCCTTTGTATTTGCATTGCAATTTCATGTTCAAGTTTATTCAAGAATGGAGCTTACATTGTGATGCATATTTCATTACTCCATCTCTTTCTTACCAAGTTTAAAATGTACAGTAATTTCAAATCAAAAACACCTGCAGTTTAGGCCACTAATGTTTAGAATAAAATGTTCTGTTTTTAGTATGATACTTTATTTTCTCAAGATTCTTGCATTCGGCATTCAATTACATTGAGTAGGTAGATACCTTACTGCTTGCTGATTTTTCTATAGCATGTGGCAACTGTCAAGTTAGAGTTCCTTGAAGTTAACCAATTCCTCTGGCAACGTGTATTTTATTGGGTCTCAACGCAAGTGTAGCATTTGTGGTTTGTTTAACTTGTCTTTTGAGACTGTTTCTGGGTCCAGTAATTTATCTGATTGAATGACCGAATTTATTTTAACACATCCAGGCAAAAAGACCTTTCTGATAATAGGCAGGGGGCTTTTACCATTTTGATTTATCTTATAGTAGTTACATCCAGATGCAAAGAAGTAAATGTTGGTTTCTGTATTTCAGCTGTTGCTGGACTGTACTCTTCACTCTACAGTATTTGTCGAAGCTTTATTGCTGTAATTGTCCTGTACACATTCTGCTTCAATGCAGTTAAGGTAAGGAGGAGCGATTCTGATAGCAAAATAGGCTAGGGTTGCTTGTGACTATGATATTGTTTTCTCCATTTTTTCCATATCTAGAACCTGTATGAATATAATTCTAGTTTGCATTATTTTTCCATCCTCATAAGAGAAGGTCTGCCCTGGAGAATGGGGAGGAAGTGGATAGAAGGGTTTGTTGTGAACATTATATCTTAGCCATAATTTTAGCTGCGAATGAGAAATATTTTTCATTGTTCACCATATAATGATGAATAGATAGATAGATAGATAGATAGATAGATAGATAGATAGATAGATAGATGGATGGATGGATGGATGGATGGATGGATGGATGGAGGGAGGGAGGGAGGGAGGGAGGGAGGGTAGTCACCCAACTGCATAAGACTTTAGGTGGAGTACATATTAATACTGTAATGATTAAAACAAGGAAAAAAGTATATAAATCCAGATAAAGCAATCCTTCAGACTGATAAAATCTTATAAGAGGTGTAATCCAAAGCATGGAGGGAAAAGCCAAGTTTTCAAATATTCTTTATTTTATTTATTAATCAAATTTGAGTAGCTGCCCATCTCACCAAAATGGACTCCGGGTGGCTCACAACCTTGAATAAAAACCACAAATATAAAAATGGCATATGTAAAATGTAAAAATCTACCTTGAGTAGTAGATAGTATTTTTAAAAAATGACTATACAAATCCCCAGGTGAAGAGAGTATAAAAATGGCCACCTGAATGATGGAGCCATCTGATCATATCTCTAGTTCCCTGGGAACCCCAGACCTGATGACATAGCCAGGTTTTGAGGGCCTTCCAGAATGCCAAAAGTGATGGAGATAATGTAATTGGATGGGGGGGGGGAGAGAATGTTCTATAAGGTGGGCATCACAGCAGAGAAAACACATGTTCTGGGACCCACCAAATGTACATCCCTAGCTGATGGTATCCACAGCATGCCTTCTCTGCCCAGTCTAATAGGGGGGCTGAAATAAGTATTATCATCATCTTAAACATCATCAGTGTGGGAGCCCTACAGATTGCTCTTTCTGCTGCGTATAAGCTAAGCTTTAGTTTCTTGTTAAGTTAGGGGAAAGGAAAATGAAAAGAGGGGAAAGCTGGATTTTTTTTTAATGATATTATAGATGGGAGAATGTGAATTTAATGGAAACTCATTTATATAGTTGGTGTTCTCTGTGGGTTAATTGAACGTTCAAAGTCTCTTCGGTAAATGGTATTAAGGGCAATCCTTTTAAACATGTCCTGTCATTTGCACATCTTTCTGCAGGCTAATAAGCTAAATTACAGCAGGCAGGTGGTTTTGCAGATAAGCAATCTTGCTCATAGCCTGGGCTTCGTAGAGCTTTGAAATATGCTTATAATGCTGCTACCCTGAAGTTAGAGAATGCGGTAAAAGATTTACAAGATATTTGCTGCAAATTACATACATCAACTGTAGACCTTCCATTTACACAGGAAAATTACATATAATTTGAATTTTTATTGCTTTTTCATTTTTTTGAAGATATTTGTGAGCAGGATAATTATTTGTTCCAAAATGATATTATGCATTTCATATCCTGACCCTAGTGTAGTCTAATGTTGGCATTTACATATTCCTTTATAAAAGACGTCTATCTGATTTTTTAAAAGCGTGACCTTAAATGTTGAACGGGTGGATGGATTGCAATTCAGGATTTACTTGTCATTAACTGATATTTGCTACTAATTCAGACAATGCTGAAGCTGCCTGTATTCCATCCAGACACAAAAAAGAGCACAAATGTGTTTTCTTTCCAGAGATGTATTTACATTCGAGACCAGTGTTTCTCAAACTTGGCCACTTTAAGATCTGTGGATTTCAATTCCCAGAGTTCTTCAGTGGCAAGCTTGTTGGGGAATTCTGGGAGTTGAAGTCCACAGATCTTAAAGTTTTCTAAGGTTGAGAAACGCTAATCTAGACCATTATATTGTGCTAGTATGTGAACACAACTCTTATGGTTTGTAAATCATGTTTTATGAATTAATGTGATCGGTAAACTCAAGCTGCTATGGGTTCTTCGGGGGCAGGAAGAGGAATGCCTGTGAAGTATGGTCATTTCCGACAAAATAGGAAAGCAAACATTTCACCAGCATTTTTTGTTTTGGGGGGGGGCTGAGGAACTTTCATTGTTCTTCAACCGTAACAATCCTACTTTTAATACTTATACCAAAGTTCTATGTATTTTCTCCTCTGGAATGGAGGAATCCCCTGGATTTTAACAATTAGACTGTTGGATTTTGTTGAGTAGTCAGAGTGTTTCAAAATAAAAATGTTTTTTAGAAGGCGAAGACATCCTGAGGCAGTACATTGTCTATACTTGCTAAAAACTAATGCAGGTGTCACAGAAAAATGAAATTGTCGATAAAAAGTAAGATAACTTTGGAAGACAGAATGATAACATTTTTCATTCAAAATAGCATTCATCTCCTTATGAAATGTAAAATCAAATAGTTTTAAACCTGGCCAAGTAGTATTCTTACTTCAAACCAAGCTGAAATGCTGCCCAGGAATATGTTGTATTTTTAAATCAGAGATAGGAAGTTTGGAGAGAGCTTACTTTTATATTGCTGATTTGTTGACTAATGAGATATTGATTGATGCTCAACTTTCTTAAATAATAGGAGATAAATTGCTGAAAGAAGAAAGAGGGGGGGTTATTATTATTTTTTCTACTATTTTCTGTACAGCAACTCTGTTCCAGAACATCTTCCTAGCAAGTTCTGTCTTAGAGTCAACCTATCAATTTTTATTTTGCACTTTCAAATGTATTCATAAGTATGTTTTTTGATGAGCAAGGAAAAGTGCTTTTTCATTTAAAATTATATTTATGTAATTTAAAAATTAATGTAATTTAAATATATTTATTTATTTAAACATAATGTATGTAATTTAAAAATGTACATGAGGAGAAAAAAAATGCCTCTCGTGATTTTCCTTGCTTCTTTTACTTAATTGCCAGTTTTAAAGGTATTGTGGTTTGCATAATTAGATACCATGCCTGAAATATCACAACTTCAGTAGCCTGAAGAAATGTAATATGGCTTATTTAATATAGGAAGCAGCCATTTAATTACTGTGAATTCCAACATGTTAACGATATTTAACTTATTTCTGTAGTAACTTTAAATACACAATGTAAAGACATTCATATTCCTTTCATCTCTGTCTCCTCTTTATCTATAGGAACCATGGGATGCTCAACATATTCCTGCACTGTTCTCTGCCTTTTGTGGACTTTTAGTGGCACTTTCTTATCATCTGAGCAGGCACAGCAGTGACCCATCTGTCTTAGTGTAAGTCATCACCAATGTTTTTTCATCTCTGTTACTATGGCTTAAACTATAGAACTACGTAATATTATTATTATACAAATTTATATGGTCACCCATTGTAATCAAATAACTTTGGGCAGCTAATAAACAAAAAAAGAGGAAAGGAAAAAGAGAACATACATATAAAAGGAAGATACATAGGACATGGAACATACACATACAAGGGAATATATATATTTATTTATTTGTATCCTGCCTTTGTTATTTTTACAAATAACTCAAGATGGAGAACATATCCAACACACCTTCCTCCTGAGCTAAGCTGAGAGAGAGTGACTGGCTCAAGATCACTCAGCTGGCTTTCAAGGCTAAGGCGGAACTAGAACTCACATTCTACTGCTTTCTAGTCTGGCGCCTTAACCACTAAACCAAACTTCTTGTTGTTAGTTGCGAAAGTCGTGTCAACCCATACATACATACATAAGGAACAGGAAAGGTTAGCAGGGGTCAGGGCCATGTTAAACCTCAGGGAGAGAGCTGTTCTAGAGGGCAGACATGTGACAGGAAAAGCCATATCTTGAAAGTTTCATAAGATGATACTCTTCGACAGAATGGACCTGAAGCATGCCTAACCTGTGAATCTAAAGGGATGGGCAGAAACTACCAGAGACTGGTATTCTCTTAAGTATCCTGACTCCATTACTATGAACAGCTTTATTGAGGATATCCAGGATCTTGAATTGCAGCCAGAAACCTACTGGAAGCCACTGCTTACTGTGGTGTGCATTGCTTATGTAGCAGTGATGTTATATGAGTGTACTATTGTGTACCCAAAACTGTTTATGCCATTACATTCTGGATCAGCTGGAATTTCTGAATGCTCTTCTTGTGCCCAGGAAGTTCCTCAGGCTGTGTGCCAATTAGGTCTGGAAGAACAATGCCTCTTCCTAAAATTAATGATGAAACCTTTCAAGATATGGCGGAGGAGGCCTGTGAACTTAACAGCTGCTTAGAGTTACAGGCATGGAATCAGAGGTTGTTCCTTCACCTCCAGATCCAAGAGATCTATTAAGTGGCTGGTACCGATCTCTTGAGTTGGTAAATTCTTAAATAAGCTAGGAGAGAAAAATAGTATGTCTACTGTCTAGGATTGTTTTCTTTTCAGGAGATTGATGTTCTAACTGATTTTTGTTTGTTTTCTAAATTAGGTCTCTTATTCACTGTAAATATTTTCCTCACCTTGTAAAGCAACATTTTGAAGAACCACGAGTTGATCCACTCCCTGAGAAAATGAAAGAATCAGTGGTAGGCTTTCTTGTTCTGGAAAAAAAAGTCTTATTAAGACCTTTGTGATGGTATCATTTGAAATATTAGAGCTATTGTATGATAGAGTAGAGTAGAGTAGAGTAGAGTAGAGTAGAGTAGAGTAGAGTAGAGTAGAGTAGAGTAGAGTAGAGTAGAGTAGAATAGAATAGAATAGAATAGAGCTGGAAGGGACCTTGGAGGTCTTCTCAAGCAGGAGAACCTATACCATCTCAGACAAGTGACTGTCTAGCCTCTTCTTAAAAATCTCCAGTGATGGAGCACCCACGATTTCTGGAGGCAAGCTGCTCCACTGGTTAATTGTCCTCACTGTCAGGAAGTTTCTCCTTAATTCCAGGTTGCTCCTCTCTTTGATCAGTTTCCAACCATTGTTTCTTGTCCTGCCCTCTGGTGCTTTGATGAATAATGTGACCCCCTCTTCTTTGTGGCAGCCCCTCAAATACTGGAATACTGCTATCATGTCACCCCTGTTTCTTCTTTTCTTTAGACTAGCCAAACCCAAGTCCTGCAGCCGTTCTTCATATGTTTTAGTCTCCAGGCCTTTGATGTTATGTTAAATTGCTTAAATCTCTTTACAATAGAGCTGTAAACTGGTCCAGATGGATTCTTTGTTGAATGACAGAAGAAGGACAATATCAGGGACTTGTTGCACTTCTTCCTTTTTCTCAGCTTTACCCCCACTCCAGCTGATATAAAAAAAGTAACTGGAATTCTTTACTGTTTTAAGATGCTTCCTATTTCGTTGTTTATTTCCCAAAATTGGAATACAGGTAGTCCTTGACTTACAGCAGTTGATTTAGCGACTGTTCAAAGTTACAACAGCACTGAAAAAAGTGAGCTATGACCACTTTTCACATTTACGACCGTGGCAGCGTCCCCAAGGGTCACCTGATCAAAATTCAGATGCTTGGCAACTGGTTCATATTTGTGACAGTTGCCGTGTCCATGTGATCAGCTTTTGTGATCTTCTCACAAGCAAAGTCAAAGGGGAAGCCAAATTCACTTAACAACCATGTTACTAATTTAACCACAGTGATTCACTTAACAACTGTGGCAAGAAAGGTCATAAAATGGGGCAAAATTTACTTAACAAATGCCTCACTTAGCAACATAAATTTTGGGCTCAATTGTGGTCGTATGTTGAGGACTACCTGTACTATACTTTTTTTTTTTTTGTCTTTGACTCAATCTGGCAATTACATGAATAAGTCCTTGCAACTTTCTAGGCAGTATTTTCAGAAATGGTTTGTCACTGCCTTCTCCCTAGTCCTGAGAAGGAGTGACAGCCTCAGGATCAGCCAGATGATTTCATGCCCAAGGCAGGACCGCAATTCAGATTTTGCCTGTACTGATTCCAGCATCTTAATCACGCAACTGAAGTGGCCTTCGTACTGCTCAATAGCCTCAGTTAGTAGTCTCAATATTGGAAAATAGATTGTTTGCCCACTATAGAAGAATGGTCACTTAAAGTCTCGAACTTAGCAGAAATGGCCAAGATTTCCGCTTTTGTGAAGGATTATTCACAAGAAAGATATATTTTGGTTTGGAGAAGATGGATAGATTATATTGAGCGTAAATATGGGACCAAAAAATATCATTTGGTTTTTGAGTGAATTTTAGAGTATTATTCTTGTATAAAGGTTAGAATAGTTTATTTAGTACTATTTTTAATTATTAAAGTGATGTTATTATTATTGTTTTTAATAACTGTATATTTGTTTAAAAGAGAGTTAAAGGAGGTTATAGATATGTTATTTTAATAGTTGATTAATGTTAGTTAGAGTATGATTATTTTATTGTTAACCCTGTGATTGGCACTGGGAAGTGAG